TCAAGTGGACCGCGAAAGCTTCTACCCTCACCTCGCCGGCTCTTCAAAGTGTTGTATGATCATGCACGTTCCTGGTTACCCACCACGGTTTCTGCCGCAAACCCCTACTCCGCATACATCGCCCCCTACTACATCGCATATCTGCAAGTTCCAGCATCCGATTCTCTGCATATCGCCATTGCCATTCCGACGCTCAGACGTCTATTTCTCCATCTCGTTCTCGTCCCCATCTCCATATGCTCCATCAACGATCACTCCTCCCACGACTGCTACGTTCCCATACATGAACGCAATCCGCTGCAATACACCCACAAGGTCTCGCTAGCGGCGATCTTAGTTGGAATTCCCCAGAAGATGTCTATCCGCCTGTTTCGTCGTCCTCACGGCGATGCCGGCGATGCTTATTCTACACTTCGACGGGTGGTTCGATATGGGCACAGCAGACCCATTGGATCCATCTCCGCTGAGAGGCTCCTGTAGGCGAACTGGCCCGATATTTGATCTCATGCCACAGTACATCTTCCGTGCTCGTATGTGCACCACGTCCGCAATCTCTACAAACAGCATCAAGACACTATATCACCCAACGAACCATGGCGACATGACGAGATCAGGCAATACAAGTTCAGCCGCAAGCTCACTCTAGCTGGCGTGACGCTCAATGGAGTCCGCACGCTCTCCTCCCCTGTGATCCGCAGGTGCTCAGTCAACCCAGGATGACCTCGAACCTCATCTGCCGCTCGTCATTCAACTCGAACACATATCCCCAATGAACACACGCAGCTGGCCTTCCACCGGCAGACATCCCATCGATACGCTCCTCCATCGACGAGGCGCACTGGATCAGATTCACCTGGACGAGCGCGAATCCATATTCAAGATATATGCACGGACTGTCCATACGCGTGAACGTCAATGCGTGCCGGTGGCCCTTGATCTTCGAGTTCTCCGTACGAACCAGCCGTCCTCAACTCAAACGATCCAGCCAAAATCCTCTTACGTCGGGGCCCGACAGCGCGCGTGCCATGTTCCCGAGGGTGATCGGGTTGGTGGTGATCTGGCCTGCACTCTCGGAGACGATGTCGACGGTCGAGCACGGAATTCCGCTCGCACAGGAGATGAAAATCAGCGTGACGGTGCATTCGATGACCTATCGAGTACCTTTTGAATGTGAGGGACGGAGACGGCAGGTCATAGCGTGTTCCATGGATTTGGGATGCAGTCGCGAATCTACTGGATGACCGCATCGAGGTACGCGAGCGCATGCACTGGCTGTTCCTGTGTCGAGGCGGCACCTCATCAAGTGTACGAACTGCTCACGTAGCTTGCGCTGGATGCCAGGCTGCTTGCAAAGCTCAACGAGCTCGATGAGGCCCCACTGCACGTCTTGC